GATTCTTATAGAAAACTTAAGCTTGCAATAATTCTTTATACTCATTCGGGCCCACAAGAGATCTAAGACCAGGCTGTCTCGAACGCCTTCTTAGTTCCAGCTCAATTCCCTTGTTAGTAGCTCAGATTCTTATAGAAAACTTAAGCTTGCAATAATTCTTTATACTCATTCGGGCCCACAAGAGATCTAAGACCAGGCTGTCTCGAACGCCTTCTTAGTTCCAGCTCAATTCCCTTGTTAGTAGCTCAGATTCTTATAGAAAACTTAAGCTTGCAATAATTCTTTATACTCATTTGAACACTCTCTCTTTCTCTCTCTTTCTCTCTCCATCTCTGTCTCTCTCCATCTTTCTCTCTCTCCATCTTTCTCTCTATCTTTCTTTCTCTCTCTCTCCATCTCTCTCTATCTTTCTCTCTCTCCATCTCTCTCTTTCTCTCTCTCCATCTTTCTCTCTCAACATCTCTCTTCCATCTCTCTCTCTCCATCTCTCTTTCTCTCTCTCTCTCCATCTCTCTTTCTCTCTCTCCATCTCTCTCTCCATCTTTTTTTCTCTCCCCATCTCTCTCTCCCCATCTTTCTCCATCTCTTTCTTTCTCTCTCTCCATCTCTCTCTCTCTTTCTCTCTCCATCTTTCTTTCTCTCTCTCCATCTCTCTCTCTCTCCATCTCTCTCTCTCCCATCTCTCTCCCTCTCTTTCTTTCTCCATCTCTCTCTTTCTCTCCATCTCCATCTTTCTCCCCCCCCCCCCCGCTCTCTCTCTCTCAGGCACTCACGGAAACGATGGGAGCGTTTTGTCCACAGTGAGAACCAGCACTTGGTCAGCCCCGAAGCCTTAGATTTCTTGGACAAGTTGTTGCGATACGATCACCAGTCCCGACTGACGGCCAGAGAAGCCATGGAGCACCCTTACTTTTGTGAGTCCAGTTCTCGGGAAACCCATTCGAGCGTCCTTCGGCGGGACAAAGACCGGGCACTTGATCTGCTTTCATAATAACCATGGAGAGCCAAGATGCTAGATGCTGCACTAAGTCGCTTAATTACCATATTTTTCAGAGTATAAAATGCACTCCCCTCCCCCAAGAGGGTGAAAATTTAGGTGCGTCTTATACACTGAATGTAGCCCCAGCCACCAGCCCCCACCCTTTGGCGTCTGTGTCCTTGCAGCGAATAGCAAACAGCCTGTTTCAGCTTCAGCACAAGCAGCTGATTGTCGATTGGCCTCCCAACCATCAGCTGTTTCAGGCTGCAGGGATTGCCACCTCCGCGGGCCCCATTTTCACCCACCTCATCTTATTTTTGGCCTCTGCGCGCCCCATTTTCTACCCATTCTGAAACCCGCCGCCCAAAATAGGCGGAAAATGGGGCGCATGGAGGCGGCAATAGGCTATGGCAATCCCTGCAGTCTGAAACAGCTGATCATCTGCAAGAAGGCAAATTGCTGGGAGGCAGAGTCAGATTTCTCCACACACACCCCTTGTTTCCCTCCCCAAAAGCTAGGTGCGTCTTATACTTCGGAGCATCTTATACTCCGAAAAATACAGTAGTTCTTAATGGTGATGAGGTTGCATGCTTTTCTTATGACAAGTTGGTGTTGGCCAAATATTGTAAAATACAAAATAAAACCTGGAGTTTGATAGTTGAGATATGAAAAAAAAAAAAGTGTTTCTCAAGCTTGACAACTTTTAAGAGGGGTGGACTCCCAACTCCCAGAATTTCCTAGCCAGCTGGGGAATTGTGGGAATTGAAGTCCATCCCCTTAAAGTTGCCAAGCTGGCTAGGGAATTCTGGGAGTTGAAGTCCACAGATTTTAAAAATTGCCAAGGTCGGGCTTTCTAAATGTATTAAGACTATAGGATCATTTAATGTCCGGATGTTGGCATTTGTAGTCCCCCATGTTTGGAAGGTCTGGAAGCCTGCACTAAATACAGGTAGTCCTCGTCTTTAACAACAGTTCATTCAGCGACCGTTGTGAACCACGGGCTTGCTTAATGACCGCAGCATTTGCTTAACGACCACCAAGGAAAAAAAAAAGATTACAACAACCGTATTAAGCAGGCACCACGACAGTTGTATGTTTTTTTTTAATTGAATTTTTTTTAAAAAAAAAATCTTTTACAAATGTTTACTTTCCCCCTCCCCACCCAACCCCCCCCCCTCCCAACCTTCCCTCACCTGACTTCCCAGAACCAATACAGGGTATAAATCTTTAA